ACTGACTGCTCTTCCAAAGGTCCTGAGTTCAATTCCCAGTGACAACTGCTTTGGTTTTTAAACAATAGAGGGGGACTACACTACCAGTGACAGCTTCCCCCAGAGAAAGGATTTCTCTTGCATTCTTTACACTTAATTTTTAATTCAAAATTTTGCTGGTACAGGCAAACAAGATTTGCTCTTTGAAACGGAGACATGCAGATCTCTAAGTTCAAAACCAGCCTACTTCCAGTACTGATTGTGCTGAATGTTTACACTGAGAGTTTTTAGTACTCTTAAATGTTAATTTGGGAGGAGAGTTTTGTTTATGTTTTTCTAGGAATGCTGACATACATCTGGATGCCAGCAAGACTGACAAGAGAAGTAAAGAAGAAAGATGACCCAGTGGATGCTGAGTGTCCTGCTGTGGAAGATTCGTGCGGAGGCAGCAGAGATGACCTTCTGGGCGATGTCAAGAGCAGCTGTCTCACGTTATCGCCTTGAGCAACACCCTGTGCAACCTCTTATCTCTTAACAATTTTCTGACTGACTCTACTCTGCCTTTCTCCCTCCTTGGGGATGGGTGGGAGCAGAGATTCTTGGCATGCTGTGTCTAGGTGGAAGTGCTGTATGTCTTTGATTGGTGTGCTACCTGCTAGCTCAAGTGAGGTGGGGACCAGATTGAAAAATAGTTTTGCCTTATTGCTCTTAAAGACATTAATTAGGGGGAGATGTTGGGAGCCACCTGGAGGCACAGGTTGGTCCTGCAGTTTGGAGGTAGCCACGTGGGGCTGAGCACCCTTGCTTGCACATGCTCAGACCAGCAGAATGGCATTAACCAATCAGGACAGCGTTCAAGCCGCTCCACCGTTTAAAAGCAGCTGCCTCGGGGCCCAACGCTCTCTCTCTAAGCTTTCTCTCGTCCCTGCTCTATCGTCCCTTCCCCCAATTTTCCTCAAGGGAATGCTCCAAATAAAGATGTGACCAGAGAAGGAATTCTCGTTTTTGGTGGGGTTCATTCCTGCTGGACAGGATGGCGCCCCGCAGTATACATAATAAATAAATAAATAAAGTCTTTAAAGAAATTGGGGAAGATATCAGAAAATGAAAAGATCTTCCACACTCTTGGATAGGTAGGATCAACATAGTAAGAATGGCAATCTTACCAAAAGCAATCTACAGATTCAATGCAACCCCTATCAAAATCCCAGCACAATTCTTCACAGACCTTGAAAGAATAATATTCAACTTCATTCATATGGAGAAACAAACAAAAAGAAACAGAATAGCCAAAACAGTCCTGTACAATGAAGGAACTTGCAGAAGCATCACCACCCATGACTTCAAGCTTTACTATAGAGCTATAGTAAAAAAAGCCAGCAGGATGAGCTGAGAGGTGGTGGTGCATGCCTTTAATCTCAACACTTGAGAGGCAGAGGCAAGTGGATCTCTGAGAGTTCGGGGACAGTCTGGTCTAGAATAGCAAGTTCCAGGACAGGCTCCAAAGCTACAGAGAAAACCTGCCTCAAAATAAATAAATAAATAAATAAATAAATAAATAAGATAAAAAAAATAGTAAAAACCAGCTTGGAATTGTCACAAAAACAGACAGGTAGACCAATAAAATTGAATCGAGGATCCTGAAATTAATCCACACACCTATGAACACCTGATTTTTGACAAAGAAGCTAAAACTATACAATGGGAAAAAGAAAGCATCTTTGATAAATGGTGCTGGAATAACTGGATGTCAACATGTAGAAGAATGCAAATAGATCCATATCTATAGCCATGCAGAGAATTCAAGTTCAAATGTATCAACGATCTCAACATAAAACCAACCACATTGAACCTCATAGAAGAGAAAGTGGGAAGTAGCCTTGAATGCATTGACACAGGAGACTTCTTTCTAAATATAACTCCAGTAGTACAGACACTGAGAGAAGCAATTAATAAAAATGGGACCTCCTGAAACTGAGACGCTTCTGTAAAGCATAAGACAAAACAAAAGCCTACAGAATGGGAAAAGATCTTCACCAATCCCACATCTGACAGAGGACTGGTTTCTAAAATATACAAAGAACTCAAGAAACCAGATAGATATCAATAGAACAAATAATCCAATAAAAAAATTGGGGTACAGACCTAAACAGAGAACTTTCAACAGAGGAATCTCAAATGACTGAAAGACACTTAAGGAAATACTCTATTTCTTTAGACATCAGAAAAAGGCAAATCAAAAACAACTCTGAGATACTATCTTACACCTATCAGAATGGGTAAGATCAAAAACACTGATGACAACTTATGCTGGAGAGGATGTGAAGTAAGGGGAACACTCCTCCACTGCTGGTGGGAGTTCATACTTGCACAGCCACTTTGGAAATCAGTATGAGGGTTTCTCAGAAAACTAGTAATCAATCTACCTCAAGACCCAACAATATCACTTTTGGGTATATGCCCAAACGATGCTCAATCATGCCGCAAGGACATGTGCTCAACTATGTTCATAGCAACATTATTTGTAATAGCCAGAACCTGGAAATAACCTAGATGCCCCTCAACCGAAGAATGGATAAGGAAAATGTGGTACATTTGCACAATGGAGTACTACTCAGCAATTAAAAAATAATGACATCTTGAAACTTGTAGGCAAATAGACAAAATGAGAGAAAAAAAAACATACTGAGTGAGTTAACCCAGACTTAGAAAGAAAAAATACAGTATGTATTCACTCATAAAGCAGATATTAGACATAAAGCAAAGACTAACCAGCCTATAGTCCACAACTCCAGAGAACCTAGACAACAAAGAGGACCCGAAGAGAGACATACATGAATCCACCTAGGAAGGAGAAAAAGACAAGATCTCCTGAGTAAATTGGGAGTGGGGGAGGGGAGGTGGAAGGGGAGAGGGAAGGAAGGAAGGGGAGTGGGAAAAATGTATAGCTCAATAATAATAATAGTAAAAAAACCCTGTCAGGAGGTTCCACCCTTGCTGTGGTTCAGTGCAGGGGGAAGGCTGACTATGCAGACAGGGGGAAGAAAACATAAACAAAACAGCAAATAAAGAGTACTTACTGTTGGCCTGGTGGTGGTGGAGGTCAGAGGCAGGTGGATTTCTGTGAGTTCTAGGCCAGTCTGGTCTACAGAACAAGTGCCAGGATAGCCAGAGAAAGCCTGTCTTGAAAACTATCTATCTATCTATCTGTCTGTCTGTCTGTCTGTCTGTCTGTCTGTCTATCTATCTATCTAACTAACTAGTGCTTACTGTTCTTGCAGAGTACCTGAGTTCATTCCCCAGCACCCATATGGTGGCTCACATTCATCTGTAACTCGAGTTCCTGGGGATCCAGTGCCCTCTTCTGAGTTCCACAGGCTTGCACACAGATGTGGTGCACGTGCATAATCTTAGAATGCACACATATAAAAGTAAATATTTTTAAAAAAGGAACTAACTAAGCTCATAAAAAAGAAAATACGCAAGTGGTGGAGGGACTTGCTCAGAAGAAAGTTTCAGTGAGGGGAACAGATTGGGGGAGGGGTGTGAGAACGACAAAATTCATCACACGCATGAAATTTGTCAAACACATAAACTTAAAAAATAAACGCAGTGCTTGAAATTTCCTTTAAAATAACCCAAGAATGACAGTAGAGGTGAGGTTGCTTAATTAATACTTATAGTATAATTACATTTAGTAATCCATTTTTATGTGTGCTGTCATTTTAAACTCTATTTTTGTATCCAAATCATTTTCATAGTCAAAAGTCGTGGAAAAACTGTACCCCACAGTATGTACAAGGAAAGTATTGAAATTATCTTTAGAAAGTTAAGCGATGGGATAGTGTCTGAAGATTGAGAGGTTAGAAGTGAAAACTTGGGAAACTCCATTGCCACATCTACCCTTTCTTCTTAATCTGTTGCAATGAACATGCATAACAGAAAGGAAAGCAATGTTTAAAACGGTCGTGGCTCAAAGGGGCAGGAAAACCGATTCATAGCAGGGACAGCTCCTTTCTCTGGGAGGCATCAGCTAAGCCCTGTTCCCCACTTTTGCCACCCATGCAGAGCTGACAGGAGAATCTAAGAGAGGGAAGGAGAAAGGAGCTTGTGCCTTGTGAGCAAACTGAGTTACACAGAATGCCAGTCACTCCCTAACAGATGGGGAAACTGAGGCTAGAGGAGTTGATGATCTCAGAGAACTAGTGTTTGTTCCCTGGTGGGCACGGTCTTTCATACACTCCCGGAAGCCATGCTGTGAAATGTAAAGCTATTTGCCCCATAGGAATTACTTCTTATGGAAGGGAGTTAGCCTCCCTTCTCTGTGTGGGCGTCGAAAAAACAGTCAGAGCTTCACTCTTAGTGCCAGGCATTTCTGCCTGACTGGAGCAAGAACCCAAGAGAGCCAGAGGCCTGAGGTTTGGTGCTGGGTCTGCCTTGGCACTATAAGCTCACTCCTTGCCTAGACTAGATGAGCCACAGCTCTTGGATCGTTCTGGGAAACTGGAAGATGGCCCACTCACCTCACTATAGACCCCTCCAGCCTCCTGGAAGGTGAGATGGTACCTTTATTCCATTTGTCTCCTCAATGGTGGTGCTGACCCTACTTGGATCACTGACCCTTTTGGCTCCTCTTCCTTCAAGACGCCCTCTGCAGTCCTTCCCTGGATGCTCTGGCCCGAGGGCAGCCACACCCTGCAACCGGACCTCCGCCCAGGCTGCCCGCGCTCTCCTAGGCATCCGGTTGTCACATTTCCCCCAATCTTTCTTTCCCTGTTTCTTCCTGCATTCCCATTTCTTTCCTTCTTGTTTGTGTTTTTCTCAAACTCCTTGCTCTAGCTCTCCTCGTCCAGACGCGTTATTCTCAAATTCTCTTCCGCTCTCAGTCCCCCCTCTCTTACTCACCTCTCTCCTCGATCTCTTCCCTCTTCTGTACAGTGTTTCTATTTTCTGTCACTATCGCCTTTCCTTCCCTTCCCTTCTCCCGGTATCTCTGTCTCCGGTTCCTCTCTCATTCCTACCTCGCCGTCCGGGGGTGTCCCTGGGTCCCTGATCCCACTCACCCGCCTCGACGCCGAGCAGAGCGAGCCCGGCCAGGGCGCAGAGTAGCGGCTGCATGACGAGGAGCCAACCGAGCACAGCCTGTGTGTCCGTAGCCGCCTCCCCGGGATCACGCCCGCCCGACCCAAGGAAATGCAGTCCCAGCCAAAATTCCTGGGCGGCTCCGGGTTTCTGGCTCCAGAGAACCCGCCCCCTCCAGAAGCCCCACCGAGAAGGCCCAGCCCGGGATCCCATCCCAAGGCTACCTCTCCTCCGGAGCAGATCTTCCAGCCCCTGATCCCACCTCCAGCCTTGGACCCCCACAGAGAAGTGGGGGAGGAGGCTGCTTCTGGGGCCACTATTCTTTATAAACCTATTCCACAGACAACCAGACTGAGGCCAGAAATGAGGATTTTTCTCTGTGTCCCTCCCAGGATCACGCAAGATCTGAAGCACTATCTCTGAACCAGAAAATGAAGGCTCATGGTATTGGACAGAGGAAACTGAAGACCTAGCGCTGCTGTCCACAGAAACTCACTGATAAAGACCATTTAACTCCTTACTAAAGAGACTAAAGAGTAAAGGAATGAGATGCTACAAGGTGTCCAAACAACTACTCAGACCCGGGGTATCGACCTATGACTGGCCTCACCAGCAATAACACAGTAAGCAATGAAACCAGCAGTGGGTGAACTCATCTCAGGTGGAATTTACAAATCGAGAGAGTTATTTTGCACCTTTATCACTTACAACTTGCAAAGCAGTTTAAAAGCAAGGGATGTCCCAGAGATGAAATAGAACTGAAGCCATAGCAGTTAGCAAATATGCTAACCATGCACTAGGTAGTATTTGGTGAATGGAGGAAAAAAATAAAAGAAATTAAAAGGAAGGACATGACTGCTCCTAGGTGCGGTGGAGGAGAAGGTTTATTGTAGATAAAAGGGAGAGCCCGGCCAGAGTCAGAGACATCTAAACTGTCTATGTCAGAGACGGTATAAACTGGAGCTAAACCCTGGTGTTCTCTTCGGCCGTACCATCTCTGATCCTCAGTATAACCTCACAAGGGACCTGTTATCATATAGCCATTCCGAAGATTAAAAAACCCTGATATTCAGAGAGGTTAAGAAACTTGCTGATGGCCACACTGTTGGGCGATGTGGAATCAGGCTTCAAATCTAGCTTTGCTGCCTCTGCAACCCACGTTTTAGATAACTGTTGCTATCCTTAGTTCTGTTTATGCTGAGCAAGCTGCTGGGGGAAGGGTAGGATGGAGGAAGGGAGGATATATGTTTCCAATCTAAGAGCTGGGTGGGTTTGTTGGTTTGTTTGTTTGTTTGTTTTCAGTGAGCTTGAAACCATCTCAAACCTCCTGCAGTTTAGAGCGTGAATGGTTGATGTTTCATTTGTGGAACACACCAGTCCAACAAGTGCAAAACTAAACGACAGCAAAACCATAAAGCGAGAACACTGATTCTAAAAAATCCACAGAGTCCAAGCACAGAGCTCCTAGTTGCAGGTTGGGCACCTTTGCAGGAAAATGGCTTCACCCATCAAGAGTCAAGAGAGCATCTGAGGGTCATGGCTGTGAAAGAACGTGTTTGTGTCTCCATGTGGGTGTGTACAGATGAGTACAGAGGCCCAACCAGGGTGTTAGTTGTCCTAGAGCTGAAGTTACAGGCAGTTATGAACCCCCTGATGTGGGTGCTAGGGACCAAACCTGGGCGCTCTGCAAGCGCAGTGAGTGCTCTGGACTGCTGAGCCCTCTCTCGGTCACTGTGCCCTCACATGCTGTATCAGCCGTGTAGCTGCTGCACATCACACTCCCTGTGTTCATCAGGAGCTCTTCCTTCTCATCCCCCCGCCCCAGGACACACTAGGAGTTATCAGGTCTGCCATCAAGACTTGGATCTAATTCTTACCTTTCTTGCCCCCCTCTAGGATTAGGATGCCCAGATGAGCAGGTTTAGGGGGGAAGGATTTGTCTCAATAATGCCAAGAATTGTCTATACTTGTATAGGGCATTCCGCTTTAGTTTAGCTTAACAGGCATGAAATTGTAAAACAAAAAACCTAAGCCCATAAGGATTTTTTCTTCTTCTTAGGGCCAGTGGGCTACCTAATTTTTTAAATTTAAGATAAGAAAACACAAAGCCTGTAATCCAGAACTTGGATGACTTAGGCAGGAGGGTTATCGGTCAAGGTTAAACTGAATTACATAGTGAGATCCAGGCTCTGAATAAGCAAATAAATAACATGAATTAGGGTCTTTATCATTGTTAAGTTACAAAGTATGGGCCCATGTAACAACTCAGTGGGTAAAGACTCCTGCTCACCCAGGCTTGTATCCACACTGGGAAAGACCCTGACCTTCATAAGCAGCATGTGGTATGTACACATACACACTCACACACACACACAAATAAAAGTAATTAAATTTAAAAAATCAATTAATTTGGTGAATGTGATGATGCACAGCCCTTAATGCCGGCACTCAGAAGGCAGAGGCAGGAGGATTTCTGTGAATTTGATGTGAGCCTAGTCTACATAGCAAGTTCCAAGACAGCTAGGGCTACATAATGAAATCTAGTCTCAAAAGAATTAATTAAGGAAGCAAAGTAATGCTGGGCAGTGGTGGTACATGTCTTTAATCCCAGAATTTAGGGAGGCAGAGACAGGTGGATCTCTGTGAGTTTGAGGCTGGCTTGGTCTACAGAGCGAGTTCCAGGACAGCCAGAGACCAGAGATACACAGAGAAAGCCTGTCTTGAAATAAAAAAAAAGAAAGAAAGAAAGAAAGAGAGAAAGAAAAGAAAAAAGAAGGAAGAAATAAAAAGACAAGAAAACAGAAAACCCCAAAGTAATGAAATATATAATGTAAAAACATTGAAAGCACTGTGTTACTAGCTGCTCCTCCCTTCGCCCAGTCCCCTCAGCTTGGTGGACTCTTCATCCACAAATTCTGCACTTATTCAATATATATTTAGACATGGGATGAAAAGGATATTTTGCTTTTACATTTATATTTACCTCAGTCATATCATTAGTTCTTAGAAGGTCTTTGAAGACTTGAGAAGGTTCATAGAAATGAACAAAATAACACCCATTTAATTCTTTCTGAGAGTAGCAAAAAGAGAGATGGATTAGTGATTAAGCACATGTGTTGTTTGCTCTTCCAGATGGTCTGCATTCCCAGCACACACGGCAGCTTACAACAGTCTGCAGCTCCAGTCCTAGGGGATACCTTCTGGCTCCCAGGGATGCTGTGCACTAGGTGCACACACAGCCATGCAGGCAAAACACCTGTACACAGAAAATAAAACTAAAATCATTAAAAATAAACAAACAAAATGAAAAGGAAAGCATCACAAATGACCCCAGTGCGTGCCACTGTTTCTCAAGTATCCTTTACTAATAGACGTGTAGTCATGGGGTTTCCACATTATGAAATAAAGTTTTAAAAATATAGCCAAACAGTGATGGCACAAACCTTTAATCCTAGCACTCGGGAAGCAAAGGCAGGTGGATCTCTGTGAGTCTGAAGTCAACCTGGACAGTCAGGAGAACCCTTGCATCTTAACCCCCCACCCAGAAAAGTAAAAAGAATATATATATCTCACACACAATGTATATGTATGAGTGTGCGTGTTGTGAGTGTATGCTGCGTGTGTGAGGTTGATGGCAGAAGTCAGAAGAGGGAATTGTCTTCCTCACCTTGCCAAGCTGGAGTCAATCAGCTGTGAGCCACTTCACGTGGGTGCTGAGAATAGAACTCAAGCCCTCTGGGAGAGCAGCAGGTGCTCTTATCCACTGAGTCACCTCTCCAGGCGATGACACGTTTGATCAATATCCAAATTCCAGTACCAGATACTGAAGGGGAATTTGCCAATCAATATTTTAATGTTTATTTACCAGCGTTCCTGGCTAGCTAGCAACGAAGAGGAGTTTTTTCCACGCTCCACTAGAGGGCGCGCTCTTTCCAGTTGTTTTATATTCATTTGCTTCCGGGGTACTTTTCTGTAGTTGGAAATGTAGGCTTTGTCTGAGGCCTGACAGCCATACATTTTTCTTCTTGCTTCCTTCTCCTATTGGAGTCTCACAAGATAGAGGTGGCAATGGCGCCAAAGAACTAGGAAAGACTCGAACCCCCGGCTCATCCCGTGTGTGTGTGTGTGTGTGTGTGTGTGTGTGTGTGTGTGTGTGTATTCCATAGGCATGCTGTCTGAGAGGAAAGATTTTTGTTGTTGCTGTTGTTTGGTTTTTGATATTTTGAGACAGGATCTGTCTACATAGCCCAGGCCGACCTGGAACTCACAGAGACTTGCTTGCCTCTGCTTCCCAAGTGCTGGGATTAAAGGCATGCACCATTACCGCCCAGCTAAAATTTTTTAACTTTTGAAGTTATTTTTAACTATGTGTCTGTGTATGGATATATATGTACATGACTGCAGTTTCCTCCAGAGGCAGACCTGTCAGATCCCCTGGAGCTGAGGTTGCAGGCAGTGGTGAGTTGCCTGATGTGGTGCAGGGATTTGTACATGCAGTGCCCATGCAGGACAGAGGAGGGTATCGGATTTCCTGGAACTAGATATGGATGACAGGAACTGATCCTAGGTCCTCGCAAGAGCAGCAAGTTCTTTCTTTCTTTCTTTCTTTCTTTCTTTCTTTCTTTCTTTCTTCCTTCCTTCCTTCCTTCCTTCCTTCCTCCCTCCCTCCCTCCCTCCCTCCCTCCCTTCCCTTCCCTTCTTCCCTTCCCTTCTTCTTCTTCTTCTTCTTCTTCTTCTTCTTCTTCTTCTTCTTCTTCTTCTTCTTCTTCTTCTTCTTCTTCTTTTTCCTTCCTTCCTTTCTTCCTTTCTTTCCCTCTCTCTTTTTTAAAAGATTTACTTACTTATGTATATAGTGTTCTGCCTTTATGTATGCCTGTATGCCAGAAGAGGACACCAGATCTCATTATAGATGGTTGTGAGCCACCATGTAACGGTTGCTAAGAATTGAACTCAGAAGAGTAGGCAGTGCTCTTAACCACCGAGTCACCTCCCCAGCTCCACAAGAAGACGTGAAAGAGACAAATATTGCTAGTGGTAGAAGATTGGCTTCTTTCCCTACAAGATCCACCAGAACTAGATGGACGTGAATCACTCCATACATTGGCAGACCTGTAGCGTTTTGGCAGACCTGTAGCGTTTGGAAAGAAATTTATGTGC